AAATGCCCAGTCAGTTTTAACGTGTTTATTACTGGACTTAATAAAACCTATTTTCCTGAAAAATATTTTTAAGTGAAAGATTTTATAAATTTCTACTGAAAGCAGTGGTGACTACTTGGTTAATGCATGCTGAAGGTTTCTTTATAAGGAAACAAATATTACTGTCATATAGGAAGAAAATGAGTAACTCTCAACACTAAAATTCAAGCATGACACTCTGGACTTACAAATGTTTTCTGCTAGGTGTATAAATAGCAGAATGATTATTGAGTGTAACTATCCAGTCAAATTAGTGTCAATTATTGTGCATCGATGATTTGGGATTTGATTTAGAATTTACTGGACGTTAAGCAGAGCTGCGCTACTAACAAGGTATTCACTGAAATGGTTAATTATCTTTGGTTGACTTTTATTTCTTTGTTTTTGTTAAGTATTTATTTGCAGTTGTAATTAAATACTGTTTTATTTTAACATTGAAGTATTGAATAATAATTAATGGCCACCATACATCACAAAATTACCATTAACATTTATTTCAAATCTTAGTGCTACCATACATATTTTTTGAGTGAATTTTTTCTTTCTTTTTTTTTTTTTTTTTTTTTTTTTTTTTTTTTTTTTTTTAAGTGAAATTTGAACTTGACTTTTTCTCATTTTGTATAAATTATAAATACCTTTATTTTAATAATTGACAAAAGTAAATTCAATTTCTTTTTCCAATGTGTATATATTTAATTCTTTAAAAAACATCATGCTAGGTTAGATGTCAACAGAGGTAAGTCAAATTTAAAATGAGTTGAGGTCTTGACAAGAAAAAAATGTGGAAAGTGAAATTTACATGAATATGGGTAAGATTCAAGAAAACCTCTGCATTATTCATTAGAAAAAAAAAAATGACACTTTTAATTATGCAGATGCGATGCTGTTCCAAACAGAAATACTTGGGTTACATTTAGATTTGATATGAATAACCTGAAAATGTAAGAATAACTAATGTCAGTCGTCAGCTTGTCTTTGGTTCTTTCTGTTTATATATATAACAGTTAACTGATGATAGTTTACCAAATATGGCAGATTTTCATCTTTTACTTTGAAAGTTAAAATATCAGTTTTACCTTTCTGAAAGCCCTTACAAATTTACAAGATTCTGGTAACATTTTTTATGCAACTTTGTAGAGTGATTATTTGCCACCCACTCACCCCTCTCCCCATTGACACAACGTTACAAGCCATGGGCTACTTTTTTGTGACTTTCATGGCAAATATTTTAACTAGGTCCATTCCTTAGTGCCACCATCTTGGACATTTGCAGCCAAAACCTATCTTGCTAAATCTGCAGGGTTGAATCACCTTGATTTCCACTGTAATACTTTGATAAGAATGATGTTCTATTTGGACATCTGTTTCCCAAGGCCCACTATTTTGTAGAACAGACTCTAAGTTTTACAATCTTAGCCCCTTTTTGAATCTGGGGTCAATTGTTATATATTCACCATATCCTCATAATCTTTACTTTGTACATCATTCTCTCATGTTCATATCACATACCTCATTCAGTATCCTACCTTAAGTGGCTCTTGGGTCTTGAATTGGGTGAACTTTCATTAAAAAACCAATTCACTTTATTAGCTTTTTAAAATTTTTATTCTCTTTTTTTTTTTTACTCTTTAAAAGTAGGTGGGTTAAATCTATACTTAGAAGTTGTTTAGAGAAATCAAGCATTTTTTTTTCTTGGAATTGTTATACATCACAAATTCCTGGTGAATTCATTTGGTTAATTTCCAATATCTTAGACCCTGAAATTTTCCTCTTTGGCACCAAATTGAATTCTAGTTAGTACATTCAGGACTTTTTTATTGAGAAAAGTCTGGAAGTCTTCCATTCGACAATTGTAGATGCTGCGACCATATTTAGCTTGTAACTATGAAAGATACTGTTGGGAGTTGCTTTAACTTAAAAAGTTTTCTCTTTTACTTTGATAAATCTAAGTAGATACAAATAAGACTTTATAAATGAGAAATAAAAAACATTTTCAGTATGATTAAAGTTTAGTGATAGAAAGCAACTTTTTTATATGTTGTGTCCCTTCAAGACATAGGTGATCATGGCTCTCCACAAATTCCTATCCCTTGTTTAGCCGTTTGCTATCTCTTTATGTTCTGCCAAGCCAGTTGGTTATATATTACTTTGTTTCCTTCTGCTCCTGTTGCTTTCATTATGTCCTGAGTGTGTTAGATTCTCCAAACTCCCTTTCTTCATTGTGTGTCCCAGAAATTCCAACTTTGATTCCAAGCAGAAGTGCCCTTTTTGTTTCTATTTTCCTTAAAACTTTATTGCTCAAATATTCCATCCATGGCATTCTCAGCATCCTTCTGTAGAACCACATCTCTTTGGATTCCAATCTCCTCTTCGTCTGTGAGGATATTGTACAGCATTCATTGCAATATCAGATTGATATTACAACAACTCTAAGTAATAGCTTATGAAGCTTTGACTAATTCAGCTTTAGTGCTGAAAACATTTATTTTATTATAGTGGATGGTTACAAGTGAGAGGGGAGATGGGATGTGCTTATTTTATTACCATAATAATTCTTTTCCTTATTTTCAATGACATTCTTATTTCTTAGTTTCTGGAAGGCATCTTTTGCTATTGCAATTAGTCTTTGGATTTTATTGTTACATTTTCCATTAAAACAAATTTCTGTACTTGATGTTTATCTTGAGCAATAAATGAATATTTTTTTAATTAGAAATAATGAATAACTAAGTCTTAATACATTGTTTTTCTTTTTCCTGATAAATATTTTGTTTGTTATCACTGTGGTGATATCAATAAACTCATTATTGTAGACTTTTCATGTTGGTACATATCAAATTTGAAAGTGAGAGAATTGTGTTGGCTGCATGCAAAATGTTACCACCTATATTTGGGTGTCCCTCAAGAAAGATTGGTTTTCAATCTGTATTTTATTACCTACAAGGCCTTGTCTTTTGGAACAATGGTGGAATAGATGCTTGCTGCATCTTGATTCCTATTTAAAGACCCACATTCTGTCTGTGCCCCATAACCTATTAGGATCAAAGAAGAACCACTATAGCAACAGTGCTATGTCTAGGACAAAATCAACTGATAGAGCTCAAAAGTTTTCAGATTGGTTTTGAATTCAGTTTTCCTTCTTTTAGACTGGTTGCTATCTGAAGACACGAGAGCCCAGTCAGTCCTACTATTTAACTCATAGCTGTAGGAAGATGGATTCATATCTTTTTCAAGGACAATATTGCAAAGTGAATGAAACAGAATCAAGCGGGAATTGAACTTTGCATATCTAAATTACTTTCTGCATCAATATCTATTACACTGTCCATGCTTCCAGGCATATTGTAAGGTAATAGAAACTATTGAATGTCAACAACTCGTTTCAAGATCTCAGACAAAACAAATGATAATCACATTTATAAACTTGAAAGAAAGTCAGAGAGTCCATTAATTTCATTACTTGGAATTTCAACTCTATAATCAGAGACTGTATTTAGAAGTTGAATAGATACGAATAATAACATATCACTTATAATAATTAGATGTCAGTCATCAACTTGCATTATAAAGCTCAGACCATGAAGGATACAGCTCTAATTAGAATAGCCAACATGTCATATCTTGGCAGGCTTGACAAGACAGGATATAATCTTGGACAACACTGGTTGGACATAAGATTTATGGTTGATTTAAGCTGGTGAAAACAACATAGTATCTGACTTCACTTTCCCAGCCTTGGAAATGGGAAAGTTGGTGACATATCCGTTTTATTTACTTGCATTTGATTAATGCAATCTTTTGTATGGATCAGCTGAGATATTGTTGCTTTAGGTTTGCTTAGAGACAGACATGTATATCATTAAAAATTACATTTTTAGTATTAAATGAATTATTACTTTGTTCACATTTCAGTTTTAAAAACATATTAAGTAAATAAAAATGCTTCAATGACCAGAGAGTAGATATGTTTTGCCCTAAGGTCATCAGATTTTTTTTAAGTAGGTACATAATGTTACACAGCCAGTGGTTTTCTTCAATGTAGATATGTAGTGTCCAAAGATCAGTGGACTTCTTCTAAGTTAATATGTATTGACCTTAAATTGGCAAACTATTTGTGGGTTGATACATAGTGCCCAAAGGTCTGAAGGCTTCTTCCATTCAGATGTTCATAGTGCCCAAAGGTCTGAAGGCTTCTTCCGTTCAGATGCATAGTGCCCAAAGGTCTGAAGGCTTCTTCCATTCAGATGCATAGTGCCCAGGCTTCTTCCTCTGATGCATAGTGAAGGCTTCTTCCGTTCAGATGCATAGTGCCCAAAGGTCTGAAGGCTTCTTCCGTTCAGATGCATAGTGCCCAAAGGTCCGAAGGCGTCCGTTCACATGCATAGTGCCCAAAGTCTGAAGGCTTCTTCCGTTCAGATGCATAGTGCCCAAAGGTCTGAAGGCTTCTTCCGTTCAGATGCATAGTGCCCAAAGGCCGCTTCTTCCATTCAGATGCATAGTGCCCAAAGACCTGAAGGCTTCTCCGTTCTGCCCAAAGGCCTGAAAGGCTTCTTCCGTTCAGATGCATAGTGCCCAAAGGTCTGAAGGCTTCTTCCGTTCACATGCATAGTGCCCAAAGGTCTGAAGGCTTCTTCCGTTCACATGCATAGTGCCCAAAGGTCTGAAGGCTTCTTCCGTTCAGATGCATAGTGCCCAAAGGTCTGAAGGCTTCTTCCGTTCAGATGCATAGTGCCCAAAGGTCTGAAGGCTTCTTCCGTTCAGATGCATAGTGCCCAAAGGTCTGAAGGCTTCTTCCGTTCACATGCATAGTGCCCAAAGGTCTGAAGGCTTCTTCCGTTCAGATGCATAGTGCCCAAAGGTCTGAAGGCTTCTTCCGTTCAGATGCATAGTGCCCAAAGGTCTGAAGGCTTCTTCCGTTCAGATGCACAGTGCCCAAAGGTCTGAAGGCTTCTTCCGTTCAGATGCATAGTGCCCAAAGGTCTGATGCTTCTTCCGTTCAGATGCCCAAAGGTCTGAAGGCTTCTTCCGTTCAGATGCATAGTGCCCAAAGGTCTGAAGCTTCTTCCGTTCAGATGCATAGTGCCCAAAAGGTCGCTTCTTCCGTTCAGATGCATAGTGCCCAAAGGTCTGAAGGCTTCTTCCGTTCAGCATAGTGCCCAAATAGTGCTTCTTCCGTTCACCCAGTGCCCAAGGTCTGAAGGCAGATGCCAGTGCCCAAAGGTCTGAAGCTTTTCCGTTCACATGCCCCAAAGGTCCTGAAGGCTTCTTCCGTTCAGATGCATAGTGCCCAAAGACCTGAAGGCTTCTTCCGTTCACATGCATAGTGCCCAAAGGACCGAAGGCTTCTTCCGTTCAGATGCATAGTGCCCAAAGGTCTGAAGGCTTCTTCCGTTCAGATGCATAGTGCCCAAAGGTCTGGAAGGCTTCTTCCGTTCATGCATAGTGCCCTGAGGACTTCTTCCCGTTCAGATGCATAGTGCCCAAAGTCTGAAGGCTTCTTCCGTTCAGATGCATAGTGCCCAAAGGTCTGAAGCTTCTTCCGTTCAGATGCATAGTGCCCAAAGGTCTGAAGGCTTCTTCCGTTCATGCAGCCCAAAGGTCTGAAGGCTTCTTCCGTTCAAAGGTCTGCTTTCTTCCGTTCAGATGCCCCAAAGGTCTGAAGGCTTCTTCCGTTCAGATGCATAGTGCCCAAAGGTCTGAAGGCTTCTTCCGTTCACATGCATAGTGCCCAAAGGTCTGAAGGCTTCTTCCGTTCAGATGCATAGTGCCCAAAGGTCTGAAGGCTTCTTCCGTTCAGATGCATAGTGCCCAAAGGTCTGAAAGGCTTCTTCCGTTTCAGATGCATAGTGCCCAAAGGTCTGAAGGCTTCTTCCGTTCAGATGCATAGTGCCCAAAGGTCTGAAGGCTTCTTCCGTTCAGATGCATAGTGCCCAAAGGTCTGAAGGCTTCTTCCGTTCAGATGCATAGTGCCCAAAAGGTCTGAAGGCTTCTTCCGTTCAGATGCATAGTTCTGAAGGCTTCTTCCGTTCACATGCATAGTGCCCAAAGGTCTGAAGGCTTCTTCCGTTGCCCAAAGGTCTGAAGGCTTCATGCATAGTGCCCAAAGGTCTGAAGGCTTCTTCCGTTCAGATGCATAGTGCCCAAAGGTCTGAAGGCTTCTTCCGTTCAGATGCATAGTGCCCAAAGGTCTGAAGGCTTCTTCCGTTCAGATGCATAGTGCCCAAAGGTCTGAAGGCTTCTTCCGTTCAGATGCATAGTGCCCAAAGGTCTGAAGGCTTCTTCCGTTCAGATGCATAGTGCCCAAAGGTCTGAAGGTTCACATGCATAGTGCCCAAAGGTCTTCTTCCGTTCAGATGCATAGTGCCCAAAGGTCTGAAGGCTTCTTCCGTTCAGATGCATGCAGTGCCCAAAGGTCTGAAGGCTTCTTCCGTTCAGATGCATAGTGCCCAAAGGTCTGAAGGCTTCTTCCGTTCAGATGCATAGTGCCCAAAGGTCTGAAGGTCAGGCTTCTTCCGTTCAGATGAAGTGCCCTTCTTCCGTTCAGATGCATAGTGCCCAGCATAGTGCCTTCTTCCGTTCAGATGCATGCCCAAAGTGCCCAAAAAGGTCATAGTGCCCAAAACTTCTTCCGTTCAGATGCATAGTGCCCAAAGGTCTGAAGGCTTCTTCCGTTCAGATGCATAGTGCCCAAAGGTCTGAAGGCTTCTTCCGTTCAGATGCATAGTGCCCTGAAAAAGGTCTGAAGGCTTCTTCCGTTCATGCATAGTGCCCATAGTGCCCAAAGGTCTGAAGGCTTCTTCCGTTCACATGCATAGTGCCCCCAAAGGCTTCTTCCGTTCAATGCATAGTGCCCAAAGGTCTGAAGGCTTCTTCCGTTCAGATGCATAGTGCCCCAAATATCTGAAAGGCTTCTTCCGTTCACATACATAGTGCCCAAAGGTCTGAAGGCTTCTTCCGTTCAGATGCATAGTGCCCAAAAAGGTCTTGTTGCCCAAAGTGCCCAAAGGGCTTCTTCCGTTCAGATGCATAGTGCCCAAAGGTCTGAAGGCTTCTTCCGTTCAGATGCATAGTGCCCAAAGGTCTGAAGGCTTCGTTCCATAGTGTTCAAATGCATAGCATAGTGCCCAAAGGTCTGAAGGCTTCTTCCGTTCAGATGCATAGTGCCCAAAGGTCTGAAGGCTTCTTCCGTTCACATGCATAGTGCCCAAAGGTCTGAAGGCTTCTTCCGTTCAGATGCATAGTGCCCAAAGGTCTGAAGGCTTCTTCCGTTCACATGCATAGTGCCCAAAGGTCTGAAGGCTTCTTCCGTTCAGATGCATAGTGCCCAAAAAAGGCTTCTTCCGTTCAGATGCTGAAAGGCTTCTTCCGTTCAGATGCATAGTGCCCAAAGGTTTGAAGGCTTCTTCCGTTCAGATGCATAGTGCCCAAAGGTCTGAAGGCTTCTTCCGTTCAGATGCATAGTGCCCAAAGGTCCGTTCAGATGCATAGTGCCCAAAGGTCTGAAGGCTTCTTCCGTTCAGATGCATAGTCCCCAAAATTCATGGTGAAGGCTTCTTCCGTTCAGAGTGCATAGTGCCCAAAAAGGCCCTTCTTCCGTTCAGATGCATAGTGCCCAAAGGTCTGAAGGCTTCTTCCGTTCAGATGCATAGTGCCCAAAGGTCTGAAGGTCTTCTTCGTAGTGCCCACTGAAGGCCCAAGGTCTCTTCCGCATGCATAGTGCCCAAAGGTCTGAAGGCTTCTTCCGTTCACATGCATAGTGCCCAAAGGTCTGAAAACTTCTTCCATAGTGTTCACATGCATAGTGCCCAAAGCTCTGAAGGCTTCTTCCGTTCACATGCATAGTGCCCAAAGGTTTGAAGGCTTCTTCCGTTCACATGCATAGTGCCCAAAGGTCGGAAGACTTCTTCCATTCAGATGCATAGTGCCCAAAGGCCTAAAGGCTTCTTCCGTTCAGATGCTGAAGGCTTCTTCGTTCACATGCATAGTGCCCAAAGGTCTGAAGTCTTCTTCCGTTCAAAAGGTCTATGAAGGATGCAGTGCCCAAAGGCTTCTTCCGCATAGTGCCCAAAGGTCTGAAGGCTTCTTCCGTTCACATGCATAGTGCCCAAAGGTCTGAAGGCTTCTTCCGTTCAGATGCATAGTGCCCCAAATCTGAAAGGCTTCTTCCGTTCAAATGTCTGAAGGCTTCTTCCGTTCAGATGCATAGTGCCCAAAGGTCTGAAGTCGTTCTGCCCCGTCTCAGCTTCGTCCGTTCAGATGCATAGTGCCCAAAGGTCTGAAGGCTTCTTCCGTTCAGATGCACAGTGCCCAAAGGTCTGAAGGCGTTCAGATGCACAGTGCCCGTTTCAGATGCATAGTGCCCAAAGGTCAAAGCTTCTTCCGTTCAGATGCATAGTGCCCAAAAGTCTTCTTCTTCCCGTTCAGATGCATAGTGCCCAAAGGTCTGAAGGCTTCTTCCGTTCAGATGCATAGTGCTTCCCGTTTCTCGTTCACATGCATAGTGCCCAAAAGGTCTTCTTCCGTTCAGATGCATAGTGCCCAAAGGTCGGAAGACTTCTTCCGTTCAGATGCATAGTGCCCAAAGGCCTGAAGGCTTCTTCCGTTCAGATGCATAGTGCCCAAAGGTCTGAAGGCTTCTTCCGTTCAGATGCATAGTGCCCAAAGTGCCCCAAAGGTCTGAAGGCTTCTTCCGTTCATGCATAGTGCCCAAATGGTCTGAAATTCAGATGCATAGTGCCCAAAGTCCAGAAGGCTTCTTCCGTTTCACATGCATAGTGCCCAAAGGTCTGAAGGCTTCTTCCGCTCACATGCATAGTGCCCAAAGGTCTGAAACTTCTTCCGTTCAGCCCAAAGGTCTGAAGGCTTCTTCCGTTCAGATGCATAGTGCCCAAAGGTCTGAAGGCTTCTTCCGTTCAGATGCATAGTGCCCAAAGGTCGGAAGACTTCTTCCGTTCAGATGCATAGTGCCCAAAGGTCTGAAGGCTTCTTCCGTTCAGATGCATAGTGCTTCCCGTTCACATGCATAGTGCCCAAAGGTCTGAAGGCTTCTTCCGTTCAGATGCATAGTGCCCAAAGGTCTGAAGGCTTCTTCCGTTCAGATGCATAGTGCCCAAAGGTCTGAAGGCTTCTTCCGTTCAGATGCATGGTGCCCAAAGGTCTGAAGGCTTCTTCGTTTCCGCTTCTTCCGTTCAGATGCATAGTGCCCAAAAATGAAACCTTCTTCTTCCGTCTAGTGAAGGTCTTCTTCCGCTTCATGCATAGTTCACATGCATAGTGCCCAAAGGTCTGAAGACTTCTTCCATTCAGATGCATAGTGCCCAAAGGTCTGAAGGCTTCTTCCATTCAGATGCATAGTGCCCAAAGGCCTGAAGGCTTCTCCCGTTCATGCATAGTGCCCAAAAGTCGGAAGACTTCTTCCATTCAGATGCATAGTGCCCAAAGGTCTGAAGGCTTCTTCCGTTCAGATGCATAGTGCCCAAAGGTCTGAAGGCTTCTTCCGTTCAGATGCATAGTGCCCAAAGGTCTGAAGGCTTCTTCCGTTCAGATGCAAGGTCTGAACGCTTCTTCCCCATAGTGCCCAAGGTCTGAAGGCGCCCAAGCTTTCACATGCATAGTGCCCAAAGGTTCTCCCGTTCACATGCATAGTGCCCAAAGGTCTGAAGGCTTCTTCCATTCAGATGCATAATTAAAGGTCGGAAGGCTTCTTCCGTTCAGATGCATAGTGGCCCAAAGGTCTGAAGGCTTTCTTCCGTTCAGATGCATAGTGCCCAAAAGGTTGAAGGCTTCTTCCGGTTCACATGCATAGTGCCCAAAGGTCTGAAGGCTTCTTCCGTTCAGATGCATAGTGCCCAAAGGTCTGAAGGCTTCTTCCGTTCAGATGCATAGTGCCCAAAGGTCTGAAAACTTCTTCCGCTCACATGCATAGTGCCCAAAGGTTTGAAGGCTTCTTCCGTTCACATGCATAGTGCCCAAAAGGTCGGAAGACTTCTTCCGTTCATGCATAGTGCCCCAAATGTCTGAAGGCTTCTTCCGTTCACATGCATAGTGCCCAAAGGTCGGAAGACTTCTACCATTCAGATGCATAGTGCCCAAAGGCCTGAAGGCTTCTTCCATTCAGATGCATACTGCCCAAAGGCCTGAAGGCTTCTCCCGTTCACATGCATAGTGCCCAAAAGTCGGAAGACTTCTTCCATTCAGATGCATAGTGCCCAAAGGTCTGAAGGCTTCTTCCGTTCAGATGCATAGTGCCCAAAGGTCTGAAGGCTTCTTCCGTTCAGATGCATAGTGCCCAAAGGTCTGAAGGCTTCTTCCGTTCAGATGCATAGTGCCCAAAGGTCTGAAGGCTTCTCCCGTTCACATGCATAGTGCCCAAAGGCCTGAAGTCTTGTTCCGTTCAGATGCATAGTGCCCAAAGGTCTGAAGGCTTCTTCCATTCAGATGCATAGTTCCCAAAGGTCTGAAGGCTTCTCCCGTTCACATGCATAGTGCCCAAGGCCTTAAGGCTTCTTCCGTTCAGATGCATAGTGCCCAAAGGTCTGAATGCTTCTTCCGTTCAGATGCATAGTGCCCAAAGGTCTGAAGGCTTCTTCCGTTCAGATGCATAGTGCCCAAAGATCTGAAGGCTTCTTCCGTTCAGATGCATCGTGCCCAAAGGTCTGAAGGCTTCTTCCGTTCAGATGCATAGTGCCCAAAGGTCTGAAGGCTTCTTCCGTTCAGATGCATAGTGCCCAAAGGTCTGAAGGCTTCTTCCGTTCAGATGCATCGTGCCCAAAGGTCTGCCCAAAGGCTTCTCCCGTTCACATGCATAGTGCCCAAAGGCCTGAAGGCTTCTTCCGTTCACAAAGGTTTGGAATGCATAGTGCCCAAAGGTCTGAAGACTTCTTCCATTCTTCTTCCGCTTCAGATGCATAGTGCCCAAAGGTCTGGAAGGCTTCTTCCGTTCAGATGCATAGTGCCCAAAGGTCTGAAGAGCTTCTCCCGTTCAGATGCATAGTGCCCAAAGGCCTGAAGGTTTCTCCCGTTCATGCATAGTGCCCAAAGGCCTGAAGGGCTTCTTCCGTTCACATGCATAGTGCCCAAATGGGTCTGAAGGCTTCTTCTTCCGTTCAGATGCATAGTGCCCAAAGGTCTGAACGCCTTCATTCCGTTCAGATGCATAGTGCCCAAAGGTCTGAAGGCTTCTTCCGTTCAGATGCATAGTGCCCAAAGGTCTGAAGGCTTCTTCCTTCTTCCGTTCCAGATGCATAGTGCCCAAAGGTCTGAAGGCTTCTTCCGTTCAGATGCATAGTGCCCAAAGGTCGGAAGGCTTCTTCCGTTCAGATGCATAGTGCCCAAAGGTCTGAAGGCTTCTTCCGTTCAGATGCATAGTGCCCAAAGGTCTGAAGGCTTCTTCCGTTCAGATGCATAGTGCCCAAAGGTCTGAAAGGCTTCTTCCGTTCAGATGCATAGTGCCCAAAGGTCTGAAGTCTTCTTCCGTTCACATGCATAGTGCCCAAAGGCTGAAGGCTTTCCACCAGTGCCCCAAAGGTCAAGGCTTCTTCCGTTCAGATGCATCGTGCCCAAAGGTCTGAAGGCTTCTTCCGTTCAGATGCATAGTGCCCAAATATCTGAAGGCTTCTTCCGTTCAGATGCATAGTGCCCAAAGGTCTGAAGGCTTCTTCCGTTCAGATGCATAGTGCTCAAAGGTCTGAAGGCTTGATGGCCTTAGTTCAGAAACATCACCTGAGCAAAGGACGCTATGATATTATATGTAATAGACTTAAAAATAATAATTTTTTTTTCATTTGGGAGCTGGTTTTAGATAAAGGAAGAATTAATAAGATCAAAATGAAGAGTGTTAGCACTGACAGACTGACACTGATGAAATAATTTTGATATGTATAAAAATTTATATAAAACCTTTATATAACAAAATAATAATCAATGCTTCTTTCATATATATATGCAGTCTGTCATTGTCAACAAGATGAGTAAAAAGAAAAAAATAATTTTTTATTATAATGTGCAGATCTCAAAGTGCATCAAAAAAGTTCAAAATATCATAGTGTTATTTAGATTTAAATTAAAATTGTCTTATTATTTATCAGGAACAGCCCGAAGAGAATTAGAAATCTTACCAGGAATTATTATTGATATCCAAAATCTTAACAATATAAGAGATGCATATGACATAGTGTTGATAGCTGCAGGCACTCATACTGAATGTAATAAAGGAAAGCGAGAAGAAAAGACTAATCATCAATTGTAAGAAGTTATAATGTATTATTTTCAGCAAAAGGAACAGCCCAAGATGTGAACTATAAATTGATACCAAAATCAAGCAAATGCAAAATTTCAGTATCTAGGAAATGTCTTAACAGAATTAAAAATGTGATTCTGGAATCCCTTGGTACTTTGAAATAGTGAAAGATGCCTAGCAAAAGTTAAGCAAAGTATTAAGAAATAGGAAAATTAGAAACAAT